CGCCGCTTTCATCTAAATACCGTATTTAAATTATCAAAGTTTTTTTTTTAATTACTTCCTAAACGCTAAATTTAAATCTAGTTACTAGTTTACTTTTTGAAATTTTAAAATAAAAAAATAAATATCAAAATGTTGATAATATTTTTTGATATTTTTATTAATATTATAAATCCGTTTAAAAAATAAAATAAATTTTGTTAACATTTACATCTTAAAATTGTTACATTTCTTATACCCGACGACGACGACATTGATAGTTGATGGAGTTGCCTGCATACAAAAATTTAGTATGCTGCGCTCTCTATCCAAGAATGTCTGAACTAACAATTTTTGAAGCGAAATCCCTGCTATCGATATCTATCTACTTTAGCAATTTGTAAATAGGTGTCGCCGCCGCCGCCGCCGCCGCCGCCGCTTTCATCTAAATACCGTATTTAAATTATCAAAGTTTCTTTTTTAATTACTTCCTAAACGCTAAATTTAAATCTAGTTACTAGTTTACTTTTTGAAATTTTAAAATAAAAAAATAAATATCAAAATGTTGATAATATTTTTTGATATTTTTATTAATATTATAAATCCGTTTAAAAAATAAAATAAATTTTGTTAACATTTACATCTTAAAATTGTTACATTTGTTATACCTAGTAGGTACAGTTGTATTCAATAAAAAAACGTACAAGAATTAGAATGAGAGAACACTGTCAAAATAATATTATTGCTTAAAACCGGCTTATCACTGACATAAGTCATTAAAATAATTACTATAGGTTATAAAGAGCATTGACGTCGTAGGTTAATTAAATAATATTACAAAAATTATTAATTTTTAATATAGATTTTTTATTTCTATTATACCACGGTACGAATTGACCATTCTTCTTCGATTCTTGATACTATTTGAGCCTTTTTAACTGACGAGGCATTTTTATTTTCTACTGTCAGTTATAGTGACTTAAGTCAGTGGAAAGCCGGTTTTACGCAATAATGTTGACAGTTTTCTCTCATTCTAATTCTTGTACGCTTTTTTAATGAATACAACTGTAGTTGTGTCCGAAACAAGAACGACGACGACGACGACAATGATAGTTGATGGAATTGCCTACATACAAAAATTTAGTATGCTGCGCTCTCTATCCAAGAATGTCTGAACTAACAATTTTTGAAGCGAAATCCCTGCTATCGATATCTATCTACTTTGGCAATTTGTAAATAGGTGTCGCCGCCGCTTTCATCTAAATATGACAATAAACATTTTTTTAATAATGCATAATGCTGTTTAGACGACTTATTTGTTTTATGATTTTTACTGAATTGAAATGTTTACAACTTTCATGTAAATCATTACTAAAATGTGTATTTATTGTATGTACACTGTTAAAAATTTCTATTGTAAAAACTCAGTTTTGTAAATTCACTACACGTTTCATTACTCAACTCAATTTGGGAATATTACAAAACAACGTTTGTTGAAATTTACTAAGCATTTATTAAATTAATTTGTTCAGTAACATTTCTATACAGGTATTGTAATTTTGCTAAAAAAAATACTAAATATGTTTAGTAATTTTAAAATGGTGTTTTTAATTATACTATACAATTTATTACAACTCAGTTTAAGAAAATTAAAAAATATATTTATATATATCAATTTTACAATTTTACTGAACTGAAGAAAATTCCTGTCGCAATAATACAATAAAATTATTGTTATTTTGTACAACAATTTACACTAAAAATATTTAGTAATTTACGAATGATGGTTTTATAATTATACAGGGTGTTAAAATTGTTAAAATAATTTTTGACATGTAGCAATATTTTTCAGGTAATTATTAATTAATTAAAATTAGTCGGTATGAATTTTTCCATCCAAATCGAGGAGGAGGAGGAGGAGGAGGAGGAGGAGGAGGAGGAGGAGGAGGAGGAGGAGGAGCCAATGGTACGGCTAACAACAACGGTGTCTCGGTTTTTTCACCTTAGCGGCCTTCTAACTTTCGAACGCGACCTTGAAAATGGTTCATATATACATGTTTTTTGTTCACAAAGAGTTGCTCTTTAACGTGGTGAAAACGAAATTTTTCTCCAATGCCTCGTTCGAATTTTATCGTTTGGCTAACAACAACGGTGTCTCGGTTTTTTCACCTTGGCGGCCTTCTAACTTTCGAACGCGACCTTGAAAATGGTTCATATATACATGTTTTTTGTTCACAAAGAGTTGCTCTTTAACGTGGTGAAAACGAAATTTTTCTCCAATGCCTCGTTCGGATTTTATCGTTTGGCTAACAACAACGGTGTCTCGGTTTTTTCACCTTGGCGGCCTTCTAACTTTCGAACGCGACCTTGAAAATGGTTCATATATACATGTTTTTTGTTCACAAAGAGTTGCTCTTTAACGTGGTGAAAACGAAATTTTTCTCCAATGCCTCGTTCGGATTTTATCGTTTGGCTAACAACAACGGTGTCTCGGTTTTTTCACCTTGGCGGCCTTCTAACTTTCGAACGCGACCTTGAAAATGGTTCATATATACATGTTTTTTGTTCACAAAGAGTTGCTCTTTAACGTGGTGAAAACGAAATTTTTCTCCAATGCCTCGTTCGGATTTTATCGTTTGGCTAACAACAACGGTGTCTCGGTTTTTTCACCTTGGCGGCCTTCTAACTTTCGAACGCGACCTTGAAAATGGTTCATATATACATGTTTTTTGTTCACAAAGAGTTGCTCTTTAACGTGGTGAAAACGAAATTTTTCTCCAATGCCTCGTTCGGATTTTATCGTTTGGCTAACAACAACGGTGTCTCGGTTTTTTCACCTTAGCGGCCTTCTAACTTTCGAACGCGACCTTGAAAATGGTTCATATATACATGTTTTTTGTTCACAAAGAGTTGCTCTTTAACGTGGTGAAAACGAAATTTTTCTCCAATGCCTCGTTCGAATTTTATCAATTGGCTAACAAGGTGTCTCGGTGGTTCTAAAGCGGCTAAAGGGAGTAGTACTTAAATATAATTATTATAAATAATTGTTATAGTAAAATATAATTAATATTAATTAATTATCTGAGCTATATAATAATGTGGGGGCGGGATCATGATGTATACGCATCGGTACGCATAACAACACACAAAAAAAGACCAATGGAATTTTGAATATTAAGTAGGTGGGTGTGTATACCTATAGGTTAGTATTCGATTTTCGACCTTATAAACATAGGTAAACAAAACAAGCGATTTTCGACCTTATAAAACAAAACAAAGCGCGATTTTCGACCGTTTCTGAAATATTTAAATTATTTTTAAGATAGTAAGTTGAAATAGTTTGTCTTTCTCTGTCTGAGTACGCCATTTTTACTTATTTAACAACACTTATTGACATAATGTCACTATAGTAATTTATTTTCAATAAAAATTTTGGTATACTGAGGCTTCTTGATTTTTAACAGTTTAAAAAAACATTTAATGATGACATTTCGAATGCGAATATTTCAGAAACGGTTGAGTTTAGTTATATGGTTTGTATATAAATTATGCTCAGAATTTTACAAGGAATCGAAAAATAAATTCAAATATGGGGTGATCCATTGAAAAAAAATAAACTTTTTGTTTTTCCCTGTATACTGATAAATTTTCCAATTTTCTTTATACGTAGAAAAAAAGTATTTTTTAGTTCCTACATAATCACACTTTTAAATTCTTTGGGACACTTAAAATAAAAAAGTTAAAGGGGGGCGACATTATAGGGGATCACCCTGTACAGTTACGGAAAGAAGTAATGTCCATTTGAATGCTTCATTGTAATTGTTCGGAGGCGTTCGGACATCTGCCTCTTAAAATTTATTTAAAAATATGTCTATATTTAGAATTTACCACCTGCTCGTATTGAATTAATTAGTATTAAATATCTATATTTCATTTAAATATAATATTTTATTAATAACAACCCGCGTTAAATATTATATAGTTTATTTAATAAGTTATAGAAAATATATTATATTTAAATTATTTCAGAGTCAATATTATTCCTTAAAAATTTAATTATTGCATATAAGCTTAAAAGTCAAATAAAATGTGCGTAGAAAGTTCAATGGTAGGTAGAATTATTGAGTTTAAAAATAGATAATAATATAATTTTATTAGCCAAACCCGAATGCTGGCTCCGAACAATTACAATGGAGCATATTCAAATGGACATAACTTTTTTCCGTAACTGTACATGTGTATATGGCTGGCTGTAGATAGATATGTCGAGTTGGGTATCAAAAGTTTCTATTTTTTACGCTGATTAACGCGGTTTATGCCGTTTTTTTCGATTTTTTTACCGTTTAGGAGTTATCGCATTTTTTCCATTTTTCACTACTACATAATATGTACCTATACTACATATGAATCGTTTTATTGCACAAATTAATAGTACTTTTAAAATGTCCGGAAATTAATGTTTTTTAATTTACAATTTTTGTTTATTTATATTTCCTGAGGGGGTTATATTATTTTAAAACAACATATTATATACCTACTTACTAATTTTTATCAGTGGTTTAATTTAAAATGCAAAAATACTTCAATTAATTCAACAAGGTAAAAATTTGTACTTAATAATATAAAATATATATTTATATATAAACAAAATTACTTACAAGTTTCTTGGTCAGGCAAATGCGGCAGCTCCTGCGCAGGCTTAGTCAGGCAAATGCATCCATGTTCAATAAATGAAGAAGAAAGTTTGAACAAGATACTACTCATGTATTTGTCGTTGTTTTTTTTTTTTTTTGTTTTTTTTTAAGAGGTTGGGGAAATGCGCTTTACGCACGATACCCAGCTATTGTTCTCCAGCTGGACCTGTGTGGGGCTCGGGTGATCTCTAGATCCCCTGTCCCACTAAAACCCTGTCCTCTATTCTGCTTGTTAGTAGCGTCCTCAAGTTTAATGCATCTGTCGTCGTCGTCGTCGTCGTCGTCGTCGTTTTTGCTGTTATAATCCCCTAAAAAATAATTCAATTAATATTATGATCGATACATTTTAATTAACTCGTCGATTCTATTGGTTAAAAAGTCGCGGTTAATTAAAATTTGTTTTTTGTTGGTGTTTGTAAAAATAGCGTAAAGTTTCGATCTAAGTCCTTCGCCCGTCCTACATGGAAGAATGATCTCCCTCAAATGGGTCACCAAATTGGAAGAAAACTTTCTAGTCTTCCATGAAATGTCGTCTTCTCGAGGATTGTCCATCAAAAAAATCAGTCGCCTAAAAACCGCGTCCAGTTCAAAGTCGTGCCACTTCTGATTTTGCTGCTGCTGCTGCTGCTGCTGCTGTTGTTGTTGAGCTCTATGCTTCCTTGGAGGACCATCATCATCATCATCTTCATCAGAAGAACTATGAGCATCGTCGCGTGAGGAGGCTGCAACACAATTATTGTAATACATTCGGAATAAATAAATTTTATTTTTTAAATGCAACTCACCTTTACGTTTCGTTGAAATATTATCTCGAGAACTACCATCATCCGATGACGACGACGACGACGACGACGTCGGGACGTCGTTGGTATAACCTGCGACTTTGTCGTCGTCGTCTTTGTTGTCGTCGTCGTCGTCGTCGTTATCCGGCTCAAACTCAGTCGCGACTTCGTCTTCGTCGTTGCCTGAAACATTAAAATTTTGAAAAAGACAACTACCGCCGCCGTCGTCGTCGTCGATATCCGACTCAAACCCTGTCGTCGCGTTTTCTTCTTCGTCGTCGTCTCGTTGTCCATATCCATAAGGTGAAGAAAAATCCGGGACGTCGTTGATATCACCTGCGTCGTCGTCGTCGTCGTTGCCTGAAACATTTAAATTTAGAACAAGAGAAATATCGCCGCCGCCGTCGTCGTCGTCGATATTCGACTCAAACCCAGTCGTCGTCGCGTTTTCTTCTTCGTCGTCGTCGTCTCGTTGTCCATGTCCATGAGGTGAAGAAGAATCCGGGACGTCGTTGATATCACCTGCGTCGTCGTCGTCGTCGTTGCCTGAAACATTTAAATTTAGAACAAGAGAAATATCGCCGCCGCCGTCGTCGTCGTCGATATTCGACTCAAACCCAGTCGTCGTCGCGTTTTCTTCTTCGTCGTCGTCGTCTCGTTGTCCATGTCCATGAGGTGAAGAAGAATCCGGGACGTCGTTGATATCACCTGCGTCGTCGTCGTCGTCGTTGCCTGAAACATTTAAATTTAGAACAAGAGAAATATCGCCGCCGCCGTCGTCGTCGTCGATATTCGACTCAAACCCAGTCGTCGTCGCGTTTTCTTCTTCTTCGTCGTCGTCGTCTCGTTGTCCATGTCCATGAGGTGAAGAAGAATCCGGGACGTCGTTGATATCACCTGCGTCGTCGTCGTCGTCGTTGCCTGAAACATTTAAATTTAGAACAAGAGAAATATCGCCGCCGCGTCGTCGTCGTCGATATTCGACTCAAACCCAGTCGTCGTCGCGTTTTCTTCTTCGTCGTCGTCGTCTCGTTGTCCATGTCCATGAGGTGAAGAAGAATCAAAACTCGTCGATCTGCAAGAAAAACATATAAATAAAAATGTAAAGAATATAATAATAATAATAATTAATTAATAATATTAGAGAAAAATACATAAGTAAAAGTTAACTTACGGTGGTGGTATGACTTGCGTTGCGACCGCCGCCGCCGCCGCCGCCGCCGCCGCCGCCGCCGCCGCCGCCGCCGCCGCTACCGACGAAGATGTAGCGACAAGGGCTTTGTATTCGTCCAAAGTAAAACCAGAGACGGCGTAGCAAAAGTTCCCGAGGAGTTCCTAGCAATACAAAGATAAGACAGAAAAATTAAACAATTAACTTAAATTAAATTAGACGACAATTAACAATCTACGGGAAGAATTAATTACTCACCGATCTTAGTGTGTTAATGGGCGTACGCTTTTTCTTTGTCCTCCGCGACGGATTCAAAACTGCAAGGACGAGACGTCGGGCAGTATTGTAGTCGACGACCTTCTTTACTTCCTTCATATCCTTGCACAGTTTTTTAAGCCTATACAATATTGTTTTCGGATGAGTTTTGGCGAGCGGCTCCGCTTCTTTAACGTACTTTGTTGCTATAGCCCACGCTATGGGTGAGCTGCACAAGTGTAAGAAATCGTTACGTGAAGCAAAGCGGATTATCGTAGCGTCTTCTTGAGTTTTTCTGTCCATATCGCAGGCAGTCCTAAAAAAAAAATTAAATTAGTTATAATATTAAATTTACCACAATATCTAGCAAAGCAGCTAAATTAGAGTCGGCGGCGGCGGCGGCGGCGGCGGCAGATTCAACGATTCTCAAAAGCTGCGGAAAAATAGAAATAATTATTAATAGCAAGTTTTTTCGGGACAAAATAAAGAACATCTCCTGTACTCTCTCAAACAAAGCGTATAAAGAATGATTAATTTTAATCCTGGATTGGCCATAATATATAGCAATGGAGGTACCTACACGTCGTACACGAGTTGAGTGGAGTACTGTGGTAGTTGGGCATAAGGCATAAGCAGTGGCGCCGAATTTTAATTTTGTAACTGGGGTGCTCACCACCTACCTATTATAGGTATATGTAATGTACAGCGATAAAAATTTAACTTTTTACCCGCTGCGCCGCACTAGGACATCAGCACAGAAAGCTGCAGGTAAATTTTACAGGGTTAATTTAAGCTTCCAGCAGTATTAATTAATATTTTACCTTAAACACTGTAACTGTATTTCAACTAGTCAACTAACTCAAGTACTCAACTCATAGCAACATTATATTATTAATATATTTATTGATTTTTATTAACTAACTGCCTCGATATTCTTTTTTTCCAAAAAGTAATAAAGTTTTTACTTTTTAATACCCAAAATTATATGGACCTTACTTAATTTTTCCTTAAAAAAATTACAATTTTAACCATGGATTGTGTTTCAAGGTCTCCTTCGATCTGTCACCGTAATCGTAAAGAATCTCTTGGCCCTCTTTGATGTCTTCTTTGGCCAAAAACACTAAACGTGGTTTGTTTTTGTTGTTATCATCATCATCATTAATTATTAACGTTTTTGCGACAAGATTGCCGGAACGACGTGAATGATTAATGAGACGGCCAAATTTGCCGGATTCTGCCGTAGCATCGATACAGTACTGTTTTTCGTTATGCTTAAAGTAGTACATGTAACAGCCGATGATTTTTTGCTCCTGAGCGTACTTTTCCTCGCGTTCTTTGGCCTTAACCCGGCTTTCTATAAGTTCGCCAATGTACTCCACTACGTAATCGCCTTTATTTATGTCTTTGGTCGCGATCACGCCTCGGCCTTTTCCTTCAAAATTGCAAATCTTTAGATTTAGATATTCCTTCCCGTCCCTTCCCTTAACAGCCTCCTCTAGCATCCTTTGCTTTTCCTCTAAAATGACACTTGTTGTTGTCTTCTTCCTCTCGGAACACCTCTTCTCTGTTTTCTTCTCTGGCTCTGGCATAATAATATTTTCTTCTTGAACATCTTCATCCTCATCATCCCTCTTTAGTAGCTGTAGCTGTGCTGGGTAGAGTTTCCTCAATTCATTATTTAATAAGTGCTTGTGCTGCAGAATACCTCTATAATACGTAACTTCTCTTTTTTTATTTTTATCTACTCTGCACGCATTGATAGCGAATCTTACGTCTCGGAATAGGGAATGCCTCTTTTCTTTTTCCATGGTATATAAATATTCTATGATTTTTATAAAACTAGCCAATGGTCGGTGTATCTTGGAAATTGTGCTTAAATTCGTGCAAAGTTCGCAAGGTTTCGGGTTTCTCCATCGGTGGTCCTCCATCTTGGTGGTTGTTATCATGTGTTCGACGACGAATGGTCGAATGTAAATGAAAATATTGCTTGAATTTCGCTATTTATATTCAAAAATTTGCAATTAGGCGATTAGGTGCATAATAAAAAGGTAGATACGCGGGTGAATAACAACTTCTTAGTAATTTTTTTACCTTTCAGGTAGATAGATGTTTTACTGGATTACTGGATTACAAATAAGACAATGTTTTTGTTACTTGTAATTTAAACAAACAATATGGACGTATCGTATATGTACACATATATGAACGTAGTTGTATTAGTAAATACAACCATGGATTATTAACATTCAATTATTCCAGTAATGTGTAGAACGTGCAAAATCCGTTTGTTTGATACCCCACAAGCCTGGTTATTTAAATGTATATGTACAAACATACTGTAAAACTACATACATAATAATGTGTAAAAATGCAAAGGTCATGTAAATCTAAAATTTAGGAAAATACATAATAGTACAAGTACATTAAAAATTTTAAAAGCACATAAATTTAAGGATTTATTACATAATAATATGAAAAACTACATATTAATTTAAAAAAATACATAAATTGATGCTATTTTACTTATGTAAGTGTAAGTGTGTACATGTTTTATATGGAACAACACATTTCTTAAGTAAAAAAAAACAGAAATAAATGTGTGTTTGGATGTGTAAAATTTCGTAAATTTTTTTCAGTGTATGTTCGTCGTCATGCGCATATGTTTAAGTGTAGTTTTGCACACGTGTTTAAAAGTAGTATTGCGATCTTCATTTGTTCAACTTTTTTGTTTTTTGTCTAAACATAGCGATGTTGGTACTCATTTTACGTGATATTTTGCGTGGATTACGAAAATAGTAATGAAAATACGATTTATTTAAAAATAAAATAAAATAATTTTGAAATGCTAAATGATACAAATTTTTTGTTGGGCATCTTGTAGAACGTGCAAAATCCGTTTCTTTGATACCCCACAAGCCTATGTTTTAAATTTTTTTTTTTAAATTTTTTACAAGTTTTTTTTCTTTGAATTTTTTCAATTTTTTTTTTGCATTTTTAGGCGTTTCAGCACATTTCCTGAGGGGGTTAGGTTAGGTTAGGAAATAGGCTGGGGTGGTTCAGGTAAGGTATGTTGAAACTTGGAATCTAGAGTAATTTGAGAATGCTGAATCGATTTTTGTGGTCGAGGGGGTTCCATCCCCCCCCCAAGACCCCCTTTACTGATGAGTTTTTTTCGTTTTTTGGCCATAACTTCCTTATATGCCTGGATATGGGGTTTTTTTATTCTTTCAATCGTTTTTATTTCTTTAGCTCTTCAATTTGATCCCCACAAACCTTCTCTATCATTTGGGCATCGAGTGGTAATTTTTTTTTTCCCTGGATATGGGGTTTTTTTATTGCTTCATTCGATAGTACTTTTAAAAAGGATGAAAAAATGTTTTCACGACCTACCCTCTATCATTTGGCCCCGAGTGAAAAATTGATTTTTAATTTTTTTTTTGAAATTTTATCGACCTTGTTTTTTTACGGTCTGAGATCTAAAAGTTTTTATTGCACAAAGCTATAGCCTTGCCTGTCGTTTACAACTTTGTTCTCCTTGTAAAATATCGTATATGGTTGCATTTTTGACTTTTGCGGGATTTTATGAAAATCATTTTTTTCTTTTTAATTTTTTTTTGAAATTTCTTCCAAGTTGTTTTTTTACGGTCTGAGTTCTAAAACTTTTTATTGCACAAAGCTATAGCCTTGCCTGTCGTTTACAACTTTGTTCTCTTTGTAAAATATCGTATATAGTTGCATTTTTGACTTTTGCGGAATTTTATGAAAATGATTTTTCGTTTTTAATTTTTTTTTTGAAATTTCATCGACCTTGTTTTTTTACGGTCTGAAATCTAAAACTTTTTATTGCACAAAGCGATAGCCTTGCCTGTCGTTTACTACTTTGTTCTCTTTGTAAAATATCGTATATAGTTGCATTTTTGACTTTTGCGGAATTTTATGAAAATAATTGTTTTTTTTAAATTTTTTTACAAGTTTTTTTTTCCTTGAATTTTTCACAATTTTTTTTTTGCATTTTTGGGCGTTTCAGGACATTTCCTGAGGGGGTTAGGTTAGGTTAGGTTGCAACCCAACCCTAACTTTTTTGTTTGTTGTCTAAACATAGCGATGTTGGTACTCATTTAACGTGATTTTTTGCGTAGATTACGAAGAAATTAAAAAAAAATACGATTTACATTAAAATAAAATAATTTTGAAATTCCAAATGATTATATTTTTTTATCGTGCATCTTGTAGAACGTGGAAAATCTGTTTGTTTGATACCCCACAAGCCTATGTTCCTCACATGTTTAAGGGTAGTTTTGCACGTTTAAGTTTAGCGATCTTCATTTGTTCAACTTTTTTGTTTGTTGTCTAAACATAGCGATGTTGGTACTCATTTTACGTGATTTTTTGCGTAGATTACGAATATATTAAATTATAAAATAAATAAATTAATTTTGAAATGCCAAATGATAACATTTTTTTATGCACACAAAAAAACCACCTAGCCTCCTACAAACCTATAAAAAAAAAAGAAAAAAGTATATATATATACATATACGTAGAATTTTAAAAAGACACCCTTTTCCACACCACCAACAGAGGTAGGGTCAGTGGCGCGTTTTTTTTAACGAGGTTTCCCCAATAGGCCTAATCCTCAAACTAAACAATATAATATATTATACGTACCACATTAGTATTAAATTTTATATATTATTTATACTTACCTCGTCGTCGTCGTCGTCTTCACTTCACTTCACTTCACTTCACTATAAACACGAATCAAACAATTTAATAGCCTTATCGGCGTCGACGTAGTGAACTAGTATGCTACGCCTCAATCTTGCTAGGGCCGTAGCAAGCCGACAGACCGAAACGAGGGCCCTGGGATTAAACGATGGGTGCTTCTTCTTTAGCTTCACATACCACTCTGAAATTAACTCGTTTACATCTGGCTGCATTATCGGCTGCACCTCGCGGCATTCTCTAATGGCGGCTCTTAGTTCATCCATAGTTAGAGGAGGGGTGGCTTGTTCTCCATAGTGTCGCCTTACAGCCAACTTGGCATAATCTGATGGCATTTCCTCTTTCATAATCAAGTCGAAGCGACTTGAAAATGCCTCACCCCTCCTTTCCCGAAAGTTCCCACGCGATGCAGCCAGTATTGACACGGTGGTTTTCCTGTTTAAACACAGGCTCGCCTTATTAAGGGACACTCTGTTGGATTCCATCGGCTCCAGCAACCCGGTCAGGACCTCCTCCCTCATGTTGTGGCAGTCGTCTACGGCAACCGTGCCATTTGTCCAAAGTGTGCCCGGGTAAATGGAACCATCCGGTCCTGAACAACCGAGCAGCCCGGCGATGGTCGTCAATGGCCCGTTCACGTAACTGTTCTCGTTCTCGAAGAGCTCGGATGCCGTTACAAGCAACGAAGACTTGCCCGATGCAACTTCATCTTCGAACATAATGTTAATGTTGCCCCGGCATACGAGCCCCGCGGCGCCATAAACTGCGTTACCGCCAACTGCTTGCAGCAGTATGGCCAGCTTCCTCAATTTGTTGCCGAATACGTGGGGTGCTAGGGACGCTACCAACATGTTGATGTTATAATTTGGCAGCGCCAAGTCCGGGATCCTCTTTACTCTTTCCATGTGATAGGCTTCGTACGTATACTTACCATTTACCTTTGTGTCTCTCGTTAAAAATGTTCCGTACACCTCAACTTCTTCGTTGAGGTTACCTACGAATGAATTCTTATTCATCCTCATCGTCACATTAGTAAGGCAGGCGACATTGGTAGTCGGTCGCATCTTGAAAGTAATTACTCTTTCGAATCTCGAGTATCTTGACTTTACTTCCATCGGCTTGTACGAGCATCTTGCATCCACACAGGCCATGAAGTATCTGCACGAGTTGGTCATTACCTTTTTCGAATAAATCGCGCCGCATAATTCGCACATGGTGGTTATGACCTTTGCTTCCGTTTCGTGTGGGCCGATGTACATAATTTTCCCTGAAATTCTCGTCAATTTTCCAATGTGCGCTGCCCTGAGGTCCTCGATTTTTGTAATAGGTAAACTTCGGCAAATAAAACCGACGGCAGGGGCGAATATTTTAGCAAATTCAGAGTATAATGCCCTATTTTTATACTCTTCCTGCTTTACCGTTAAACCTCCCAGGTTAAACGCATCTTGGGCAATTGACGAATATGTAGCGCAATCGTTAATAATTCTGGTTCTCAAACTTACCACTTGTTCCACTTGTTCGGCTCCTTCGTCTCCTTGGGCTGCTGCTGCTGCTGCTGCTGCTGCTGCTGATGATTGGGACCCTTTGGCTTCGGCGGCTTCGGCTTCTGGGGGTCCGAAAGCGGGTTCGTCAAGATCTAAAATTAAAGTAAAATTACGATCAAAATCGGTTGGAACAGCTGGAGGTGGCGGTAGTATCTCAGACAGCATTAACCTGTCTTCGGTGTAATTTTTAAATGTTAAGAATGCCATGGTTGTCAATCAAATCAATTAGTTCTTAGCTAGCTAATCGTTAATCGTAGAATGAATAATGTTGCCCTAATTTTACTATTTATAATGAAAGATTATACCTACTACCTTACGCGAATAACAAAAATTAATTAATAATCCCCCGACGATTTTGTTGTACCTCTACCTACCGATCCGATACCTAATCACTTATAATAGTTATATATACATATACATAATTCATAATAATTCATAATAATTTATGATTTGTTTATAAATTTAAATTTGTTATATGATGTCGATGAGCCGTCAAGATATAATTTATAGAATGAAAGTGGGAGCAGCGGAATCCAGAATTAATTGGACATTACGAAGAATGAAATTTCTTATTAAATTGAATTATTCAACCAGATTTCCTCCAACATTGTTCAACAGTAGAGAACGACTTTTCCTCTCAATGAAAAAGTACCAACAAGAAAATGTTTTGAGAAGATGGATCCAAGTGTCGGAGAAAAGATTGGCAAGACAAAGAAAGAAGGCAACTCAAAAGTACCTAATAAAAAACCTAAAAGGTGGGTCCAGTATGAAGGAGATCGTTAGCGCATTTAAAAAGTCCAAACTCGCTAAAAAAGGAGAGGTGGTTTTAAGAATGACAAGACTGTCTGTATTCGTGAAGGAAGCCTTCTTGGACGCAAGAGTAGACGAAGAATTTCAACAAATATTAAGTGACTATTTGAGCAAAGGCAATTATCGCCTTAGGACAATTTTTAATTATTTTAATTGGGAAGCAATGTTCAAAAAATGTTTTGAACAAGACCCAAAGAGGCCAAATATCCCTATAAATTTAAAAAAAAACCTAATGGCACTTTTCACTTCAAAAATTTTTTTAAATTTGTTTTACCACTTTATTTTAAATCATTCAAACTTTATAACTTTTATATCAAAAGAAGAAGAAGACGAAGAAAAAGAAAAAGCTAAAAAAGTAAGAGAAGAAAAAGCTGAAAAACTTAAAGAACAACAAGCTGAAAAAGTTCAAGAAGAAAGTAAAGGTGGTGAAACATATGGAGATTATCTAAAATTTCTGGTTTACGAACTATCATGTCCCAACGAGATACCACTTGATTTTTTTTATGACACAGATATAATTTGAACAAGACTTGAATGGCATGACGACATAAACATAAACGGTTCTTTTAAGAACCACAAAACTTTTCACAAAGAAAAAGAATAACCGATAATTAATTATTACCGTTAATCCTAACTATCTATCCGTCCTTTTCCCTTAAAATTAACCGTCTTTAAATTATCAAAGTTTTTTTTTAATTACTTCCTAAACGTTCAAATGAATGAAATAAATATCAAAATGTTTTGATATTTTTATTAATATTATAAATCCGTTTAAAAATGTAAAAAGGCAGCAGCAGCGCCATTTGTTAAAAATTAATCCTGCACGAATTTTGTTAACATTTACATCTTAAAATGACATTTGTTATAGTTGGTAGGTGTCCGAAACAACAACAATTATAGTAGGAGTTGCCTACATACAAATATTTGGTATGCTGCGCGCTCTATCCAAGAATGTCTCAACTAAAATGTAATTACAATTTTTGAAGCGAAGTCTCTGCTAGCGATATGCATCTGGTTCAGCTATTCCTAAATAGGTGTCGCCGCCGCCGCCGCTTTCATCTAAATAATGCATTCCTTTCCGAATAGTAGATGGCCTACTAGTAGGTTTTTCCGAAATATCTATCTACAGGTTGTTAAAATTGTTTAAATAATTTTTGACATGTAGCAATATTTTTTAGGTAATTAATAATTATTTTTTATTTAACTTTGTTAGGTAATAGTTTATATGTTCGTATATGTACAAAGCGAATGCAAATAGATAAACAATAGATGGTGCATGGTAACAAAAATTTAGTAAAAAATTAAATATCAAAATGTTGATATTGAATTAAGTAAGTGTGTAGGTAGGTGGTACCTCTATCAATATTTTTTGATATTTTAATAAATATTATAATTCCGTTTTAAAAATGTAAAAAAGCAGCATAATAATATAAATTTTGTTAACTTGGTTATTAGCTAACCAAAATTTACATCTTAAAATGACATTTGTTATAGTTGGTAGGTGTCCGAAACAACAACAATTATAGTAGGAGTTGCCTACATACAAATATTTGGTATGATGCGCGCTCTATCCAAGAATGTCTCAACTAAAATGTAATTACAATTTATGAAGCGAAGTCTCTGCTAGCGATATGCATCTGGTTCAGCTATTCCTAAATAGGTGTCGCCGCCGCCGCCGCCGCTTTCATCTAAATAATGCTTTCCTTTCCGAATAGTAGATGGCCTACTAGTAGGTTTTTCCGAAATATCTATCTACAGGTTGTTAAAAAATTGTTTAAATAATTTTTGACATGTAGCAATATTTTTTAGGTACTTAATAATTATTTTTTATTTAACTTTGTTGGGTAATAGTTTATATGTTCGTATATGTACAAAGCAAATGCAAATAGATAAACAATAGATGGTGCATGATAACAAAAATTTAGTAAAAAATTAAATATCAAAATGTTGATATTGAATTAAGTAAGTGTGTAGGTACCTCTATCAATATTTTTTGATATATTAATAAATATTATAATTCCGTTTAAAAATGTAAAAAGGCAGCAGCAGCGCCATTTGTTAAAAATTAATCCTGCACGAATTTTGTTAACATTTACATCTTAAAATGACATTTGTTATAGTTGGTAGGTGTCCGAAACAACAACAATTATAGTAGGAGTTGCCTACATACAAATATTTGGTATGCTGCGCGCTCTATCCAAGAATGTCTCAACTAAAATGTAATTACAATTTTTGAAGCGAAGTCTCTGCTAGCGATATGCATCTGTTTCAGCTATTCCTAAATAGGTGTCGCCGCCGCCGCCGCTTTCATCTAAATAATGCTTTCCTTTCCGAATAGTAGATGGCCTACTAGTAGGTTTTTCCGAAATATCTATCTACAGGTTGTTAAAATAATAATTCATAATAATTTATGATTTGTTTATAAATTTATTAATTTGTTATAATGTCGTCGATACAGTGCCGTAAAGATATAATTTATAGAATGAAAGTGGGAGCAGCAGAATCTAGAATTAATTGGACATTGCGAAGAATGAAATTTCTTATTAAATTGAATTATTCATCCAGATTTCCTCCAACATTGTTCAACAGTAGAGAACGACTTTTCCTCTCAATGAAAATGTTTTGAGAAGATGGATCCAAGTGTCGGAGAAAAGATTGGCAAGACAAAAAAAGAAGGCCTAAAAGGTGGGTCCAGTATGAAGGAGATCGTTAGCGCATTTAAAAAGTCCAAACTCGCTAAAAAAGGAGAGGTGTTTTTAAGAATGACAAGACTGTCTGTATTCGTGAGGGAAGCCTTCTTGTACGCAAGAGTAGACGAAGAATTTCAACAAATATTAAGTGACTATTTGGGCAAAGGCAATTATCGCCTTAGGACAATTTTTAATTATTTTAATTGGGAAGCAATGTTCAAAAAATGTTTTGAACAAGACCCAAAGAGGCCAAATGTCCCTATAAATTTAAAAAAAAACCTAATGGCACTATTCACTTCAAAAATTTTTTTAAATTTGTTTTACCACTTTATTTCAAATCATTCAAACTTTATAACTATTATATCAATAGAAGAAGAAGAAGAAGAAGAAGAAGAAGAAAAAGAAAAAGCTAAAAAAGTAAAAGAAGAAAAAGCTGAAAAAGTTAGAGAACAAAAAGCTGAAAAAGTTGAAGAAGAAAGTAAAGGTGGTGGTGAAACATATGGAGATTATCTAAAATATCTGGTTTACGAACTATCATGTCCCAACGAGATACCACTTGATTTTTTTTATGACACATATATAATTTGAACAAGACACCTAATTTTCTGTCTAATAATATTTATGAATACCTATATAAATAATAAAAATTATTTTTATTAATTTAAGTTGTTAATTATTTAATGAAATTGATTTGTGCTCGATAATAAAATTAAAATTAAAATGCCCATTTATTGGCTATGTGCTAATTATACACCAAAGTTTATTATTATTATTATTATTATTATTATTATTATTAATTTATGTGTTCGAATTCGAAAAATTAATTAATCTTATCGTTAGTATTAGTTATTATTAATAACTATGATAACAAGGTTTGTTGTTATATTCAAGCAATTAAATGGTAAATTAGATTTTTTTTCAGTATTTCTTTAATTTAAAAAGTATATTATTAGACACTCGTTTTTATTAAACACACTCGATCTCACTGTATGGGGGTAATAGTATAATTTTTATAAAAATTATTTTTTATAATTTATCTGCCAATGTGGCAGTAATTTTTACCTTAATTTATTATCAAAGGTAAATTTGAAATTTGAATAAATAAGATAATCCCCATTGTGGAAAATCATCTCACAACTATTACAACTATTCATACCTACAGAAAATAATTTTTGTATTGGATATTTACGTTAAAATAATTATTATTTAAAATTGGTATGAATTTTTTAGTTTTAAAATAAATAAATAAATATCAAAATGTTAATTAATTGAATTAATATATTAATATAATACATAATATTGAATTTGATTTGTTAGAAATTAATCCTGCACGAATAAAATAAATGTAATGTTAACATTTACATCTTAAAATTACATTTGTTATAGTAGGTAGGTAGGTAGGTAGGTAGGTAGGTGTTCGAAACAACAACAATGATAGTAAGGAGTTGCCTACATACAAAAATTTGGTATGCTGCGCGCTCTATCCAAGAATGTCTGAATTAAAATGTGTTTACAATTTTTGAAGCAAAATGCCTGCTCGCTATATGCATCTACTAATTCTAATTCAGTCCTTTTCGAATAGATGGCCTACTAGTAGATTTTGTTTGTGTAAGTACTTATATTACAAAAATTATAAATAATAAATAATGCAAATACGATAATAAAAAATAGATGGTGAATTTTAAGTAATATATTATTGTATATTCACGCCACAAACAATGGGTATAATTTCTTTGAGTATAACATTTAACTCAAAAATTATTAACATTAGCATGCATTTAAAAACAACAACAAAAATTGCAATCGTAGGTAATAATAATAATCTTCATCTCATCAGCTCTCTAAAATATGTTTTACCTACCTGCCAATATATCCTAGGTATACCTATACGTACATGTAGGTGTATAAACCTGTGTATATAACGACATTCAAAGCATACCAAAGCATACATTCGCAATCATGAATTCTAAGAGAAGTATTGATGAAGTTGAAGGTGAAAATGAAGAAAGAAGCTCGACGAACAACTGGAGTTTTTCGACAGAGGCGACAACCGGGTCCGACGTCGGCTGGATTTCCAGCGACGACGAGGACGAAGAGGACGAATCCAGCAGCAGCAGCAGCAGCGGCGGCGGCGGCGGCGGCGAAGAATCCAGCAACAACTGGAGTTTTTCGACAGAGGCGACAACCGGGTCCGACGTCGGCTGGATTTCCAGCGACGACGAGGACGAAGAAGAAGCGTTGTTGACGCATCAAGAAAAAATGGAAAAATTCAACTTGAAAATTAGAAAAATAAATTGTTTACTGAATTGTCCGCACCCGGCGGAAGTGGAACTTTTGGAGGAACTTGAAAAACACCAAAAGGGACCACGAAAACCCCACTCATCCGTCTCATTTAGAAGAATTATGTGCATGATAAATTGCCCCCCTCCCCGACGGGTATAAAGTATAATCAAATTTTTTTTCGAAATTCGACGACGTTGGAGACAACCGACATACAAAAAAAAACCGGTTCTTTTAAGAACCACAAAACTTTTCACAAAGAAAAAGAATAACCAATACCTAATTAATTATTACCGTTAATCCTAACTATCTGTCCTTTTCCCTTATACCACCAATACCACCGTCTTTAAATTATCAAAGTTTTTTTAATTACTTCCTAAACGTTAAATTTAAATTTTTAAAATGAAAAAATAAATATCACAATGTTGACATTAAATTATTATATTATAAAAATATAATAAATCCGTTTAAAATGTAAAAAGGCAGTAGCAGCGCCATTTGTTAGAATTTAATCCTGCACGAATAAAATAAATTTTGTTAACATTTACATCTTAAAATTACTGTTATTTGTTATAGTAGGTAGTTGTGTTCGAAACAACAACAACAACAACAATGATATTAAGGAGTTGCCTACATACAAAAATTTGGTATGCTGCGCGCTCTATCCAAGAATGTCTCAACTAAAATTTGTTTACAATTTTGGAAGCACAATCCCTGCTCGC